AGTTTCATCAAAATTATCACCTTGAGAACCCCTGAACTCCGTCCATGATTTAAGTGCTTTTAGGCCCGCAGCTCTTTTAGACGATTGTGAACTAGACGAAGTAGGGGTTGGAACATTTGGCCTAGCATGATCTAAGGCAAATTGATAAGCATTATAAATTGTTTGAGCATTTATTTTAATTGAGGCTTTTGCATCTGCAAGTGTAGCAAATTCCTCATCTGAAAGATCTAAAGCCTTATAAATATTTGAGTACCAAAAGTGAGGACCTCCTAATTTCATTGTAGGATTTAACATTGCAGCAACACCATAAATAGGGGGGATAGGGAAAAAATATTTTTTAAACTTTTCTTTCATTGCATTTATAGCAAGTTTATAAATTTCCCCACCCTCCGAAAATTCAACAAACAAATCACATAGTGCTGCAATATAAACTAAACAGTTTGAAATAGTAGGATAATATTGCCCAGAAAATGCATTTGTAGCAATTTGAAAATGTTCTAAAAAATCTATAAGAATTTTAACATTCGTCCAATCTTGATTTGTAAGGATTTCATCATCATCCTCACCACCAACACGAGCATTAAACGTTGCATTAATTGGGTTTCTATATTCATATGCAACTACTAAACTTTCGTACATATAATTCCATCTAGTCGGACAAGCTTTAGGAACCTTTCTTTCTCTAAGGCCATATTCATCACATTTTTTAAAATACTCTCTAAGTCTACTTCTACGGTTTGAATAAAAAAGCCAATTAAGAGCCATTCTAACCTTTTCAATTTCTAAATTTAAAATTCTCATACCATCACCGACAATTAAATGGTAAATATGACAAATACATCTCACATGGAAACAATTACTAAATGCAGGATTTAGTGTTGTTGTAAGTATGCCTATAGCACTAGTGTTACTAGAAGCATTATCCATAGAAATTGCCATTATTTTATCTCTAATACAAAAATATCTACAAATATCTGCAACAATGTTAGCAATAAACTTACCCGTGTGACGTGAATTAATTATTCTATAAGCAATAATGCGTTTTTGCATCATCCACTCCTCATCTATCCAATGACTTGTAACAGTTAGATAATCACAGTCATTATTACTTCTACCAATATCAGTAGTAATAGCAATCCGATTAGTTATATGAGTAAATAAATACCGCAAATATTATTCATATTCATGTTTATATTTATAAATATCGCTCTTTACGGTTGCGCGAGGCCAACCTTTATAAGTAGGATTAAAAACTTTTCTAATATAATGCACACAGTTAGGGTTAGAAGGAAAAGTATAGGGTAAGCACATAACGGTAACCATCTTTGCTAATTCTTCACGATCTTTATTAGGATCGTAATATAAAATACCACCGGTCATAGTGTTAATTCCTGGTTGAACTAGATTTGAACCTGTACTAGGGTTAACCGCAGTATCTACACTTGTCCCCTCTTGCTGCGCTTTCATTTGTAAATATTTAACTTTTTCTCTAGGGTGTGTTTGTATGTGCCTAGCCAAACTACCCGTACCGCTACGGTCTCCAGTAAAAAAATTTCAAACAATTGATGTTTCGAGGCGTTTAGAAGGTTGTCTATTAAAAGTAGGGGTTTCTACAGGTGGGTCGGGCGGGGCATCAGTTGGGTTATTAACGGGACTAGTAGGTGTATCATCTAAATCCGGTTGGGTTTCATCTACATCCTCATTTTCCTCATTATTTTCTAAGATAGTTTCATTAGGATAAAGAGCATTCATAACTTCTTCATTTAATTGTTGACCTGGTGCAACATTATGGCAAAATTCACTATCCGAAAATTGAAAACAAGGGTTATCACTATCAAGAATAATAGGAGCAGCAGGACGGGTAACAGGTCTGGGTCGGGGAGCCGGGGGAAGGGTAGTAGGTTGGCGACTACTTTCACCAATTTTAGCTTTTCCCTTACCACCAAACATTTTTTTCAAAGAAAATGCCATATTAATTACAATTATGCAAACTAAAACACACAAAAATATATTCTTAAAACTTAAGAGTTGGAATGAGTTTACCGAATTGCCGAACAACTTCTTAAAAATTGAAAATCGTTGAAGACTTGAATACTTCAATTCACCAACTTCACAACTTTTTACGAAATTGCAATAATAAAATAAGCAATTATAGAAGAGAAATTAGATATAGATTGAGAGAGATTGAGAGAGATTGATGAATTGGTGAGTAAAAATGAAAGAATGAAGGGGTATTTATAGTTGAGAAATAGGAAAAAGTGTAATTATATAAAGTTTGGGGGCCAAATGGCTATTTATTAAAGTGGCCAACGGATCAATTTTAAAGGCCAACGGCTAGATTTTAAAAATCTGACCGTTGATTTTTTTTTTTTAAAATTAGCCGTTGGAGCCCGTTAGGCCCGTTGGGCCCGGTTGAACCGGCCTAGACCCGCCTGCCCGTCCCGGGCTTAGCGATCCCGGGCTCGTGGGCTCCTTGAAGTAGACCGGCCCGCCACGGGCCTTGCGCACCATTTGGGACCGGCCCACTGAGACTGGCTCACCAGGCCCGTTTGGCCCATTTGGACCGCGGTCCCGATCCGGTCCCGGGCTGGGCCCGGCCCACAGTGCAGCATTACATACTACCATTGCTGATGAATTTTCACAAGTTAGAAACTTCTTTAGTATTGAGAAAAAGAGGAAGGTGGATTTAGAAGCCTAGTTCTGGAGGAGGTGGCAAGGTTTCAGCCGCTGCAAAGCCTCTTTCAAAGAGCAAAAAGAGTAGCAAACAAGAGTTTATCGTTAAACTCACTGTTTCAGAGGTTTTTCCCCAACAATCTAACTTCAAGGTGGACTATGCTGAATGGAATAAAATAATGGGGCAAAATGGAAATCGAAATATGCCCCCGAACAACTACTCTTCTCCCATCCAGTCAGAACATCTTCCCACTGCCCAGAAAGAATGTCACTGGAAAGGTGACCTTGACGTCCAACCTGCTTAAGAGGATGAGTGAATCACCAATGGTTTTTCGTTTGTTTATATGTACCCCTTTATCCTCGAATTCGAGCCTGCAATTGATCTCGTGATTGAATAATTCTGCCGACACTTTAACGTTTGCTTATCTCAAATAGGTTCGACCGTTTGGAGACTTGTGGCGTGTCTCTATGTTTTATTAAATTTAGCTTCGGTAGACTTCACTCTTTACTACCTCCTTTACTTTTATTCTCCCAAACTCTTCTGGGCATGAGTATTCGATATTGGTAACTGTGAAAAGCGAGGTCTTATTGACCCCGAAGATGATTATAATTGGAGATGGTATAAAAGGTTCGTGATAGTACCTACTCAAGTTCTTGTAAGTTTTATTGTTATCTTTGGAATCATCTTGTTCTTAACCGAACCATAACGTTTTTCTTTTGTACTGCAACTACTGTGCAGATAATTGGGAAGGTCTCGAATTTTGCTGGATGGGTGGAGAAGATTTTATCTTCCACCTCTACGAAATAGAGAACTTGACCTACCTAAGGTCTGTGAAACCCAAGATAAAATTATAAGATTGGCCACTTTGAAAAGAAAAAATAAAGATTCTTTGAGTTTTGCACCAAAGGGTGATCTTGCCGGTCCTCCGAAGAATAAGAAAATACTTAGCAAGAAGAAGACAAAGAAATAGGGGTGACCGGAGCAGGTCCCAAGTCTGTTCTTCAGCTACTCAATTTCGACTTCAAAATGAGCCGAATGATACTCCCATCATCGTGGAGAACGATGACGAGGAAATTCCGGATGTACATGTTGATGATGCAATTTCTACTCTAGTTCAAAAATTAGTTGATGCTTTGTTTGTTGCTGGTTTTGGATCTCGGATCTAGTTTCGAGATCCGAGACCCACTGGCACCTCTTCCTCGACACCGCTGCCCCGTATTTCGACTCATAATGTCGGTGGTCCTTTCACTGGAAAAAGTGTGGATCGTGTTGTGATTGAGGTTTCCAAAGATGTGAATCTCTGACCTGCTAAGTTTCCCTTGGTTGAAGAGATTCATTGGTCCTCAAGAACAGGAAAAATTTGATAATCATTCCTCTACTAGTTTGATTAAAGACATGATCCACTCTACTCTTTGGGTACGTTTCTTTTTCTTTCCCTAAATGTTTTCTTTGAATTTGACGTTTTGAATATTAAAAGAAATTTAATCTCATAGTGTAATTTGGTTGGCATGTAAGTGTTAAAGAGATCAAATACCTTCCATGAGAATATAATTGCGGAAGCCTTAGAGCATCAAGCCAAATTGGTTATAGCGAAGTTGGCGAAGATAAAGGCGGAGATGAAACAACAAGAAGCCACATCTGTCGATCAACATTCCAAGGCAACAGAAGAGATCCGGAGTCTCAAACAGTTGCTTGCTCAAAAGGAAGCATATTCGGGTAAGCTAGTTTTAGACTTTACCCAAGTCACAGAGGACCTCCGAGTAGCAAAAGACAATGTGAAATTTCTTGAAGCATCTCTTCATCCATTAAGAAAAAATCTTAATGCTTCTAAAACTGAGAAAGTAGAGCTTCGGGTTGAGAAAGATCCAATGGTTGCAATGTATAAAGCTCTCACACTCCAATCCAAGAATAGTTTGAACATGATGTTTTTGTAAACTCTCTTGAATACGTTGAAGGATGCTCAAGACGGGGATTTTGAAATGGAGGAAAACATTGAAAAGCTAAGAAAGTAGTAGAGACGGCTCGGGAGGCCATGAGTTCTTCTACTCCGAAGAAGACTATGAAGAAGAAGAGGCGGACCCGGACAATGTCTAATGAGACTAGTGAAGCTGAGCATACTGAACTGCATCCTGCCTCTCCGACTCCTCAAGTTGATCCTTCCGAAGTTGCTTCGTCAACTTTTCATTTTGCTTCGGGGGTTCTAAAGTTGCTTGTCCTGGGCATTGATCATGCGTGTTGCTTTAGTTTTTACTTGTTGCTCTTTTTTATTATCTGAGTCTTTATCTATTGTTTAATAAATATTTCATACTTTTGTTTCCATGTTTGTATATTTTGTATTCGTAATATTTTTGCCTTTAAACATTTTTTGTGCTTAATTTTATAGAATTTGTTATTTTTGTTTCTAGAACAATCACTTTGTCACGACCCTAAATCCCACAAAAGCCGTGACGGCGCCTAACGCTGCTTTCTAGGCAAGTTAACATCAAATATACAAAAATAAGCTCAAATAACAATAAGAAATAACCTCAAAAGCGAAATAAGATAAATAATGGTAGCAATATAGTGATACATCTGAAATATCATTCCAGAACCTTGTGTCAATGAGTACATGAGCTCTATAGAGTAAATAAATACAGCGGTCCAAATAATGATATAATACTGTCTAAAGTACATAAATATTAATAACAAAAGTAAAGGAAGGGACTCCAAGGTCTGCGAACAGAAACAATAGTGCTACCTTGCCATCACGAACGAGAACCAGTGCAACTTTCTAACAATTAGCTCTATCGCAATACCTGGATCTGCACAGAAGGTGCAGAGTGTAGTATGAGTACAACCGATCCCATGTACTCAGTAAGTAGCAATGTTAACCTCGGATTGAAGATAGTGACGAGATCGGCAAAGTCCACTACTCACTTTCATCGGTCAACAATAACAGTAACAACATGACAATAATAATAAAGGGAAAACAACTTGAGAATAACAAGTTCAACTTATTCACATTAACAGAAAATAGACATACTTTCCCATCAAATCAGTTAAAGCATCAATTTCAAGAAATAGAGTTTCAATTAGCATGAGGAAGGTTTGTCTCTATGCCTGCATGACAAGTAACAATGCCAAAATCAACAAATCCATAACGAAACCTTCAATAAGCACAATCTCAGCACTGTACGAGTGCCTGGCATAAAGCCCCTCACTCAGCATATACCAAGTGCCTGCAGTCACAGGGCCCAAAGACAATGGGTTATTACCTGACTCTGGAGGGGTAAATCCTAGGCCAAGCGCTGATCGGATAAAAAATCAACAATCATCATAACTCAGCCCAAATGGCCTGGTGCACGCGTTACCTCAATATCAATACCACTGATAAGTAGGGATTTTGACTACTTATTTGCACTCTTTTACTTTCTTTTTAGATCAAAATTGCTTAAAGGTATTCTCGAAAACTAATGAAATGTGCTTTGTTGCAGGAGTGTTGGAATATGAGTCAAAGAGATAAAAATCAACTCAAGAAGGAGTAATTTTGGACAAGGACTAAAATAAAGCAAAAAGAGCAAAGTGCGGACCGCACAATATAGAGTGCGGCTGCAGACCATGAAGAACTTCTGATAGATTTCCTTTGCAAAGTGCGGACCGCACATTTATTGTGCGGCTGCAGAAGATGAGGTTCAGAGAGATAGGAGTTTGGGCCCATGAAGAAGTGCGGACCATACTATTATTGTGCAGCCGCACTCAGAAACGTGCGGTCCGTAGAAGTCTCTCACGTCAAGCTCAAGAGTGCAAATAAGTAAAACTTGGCTAACAAGAAATTAGGGTGAACTCAAGAAATTGATAGTTCCAATTAAAGGGTTGAATCTAGAGATAGTAAAACCCGACTTGAGCATCTATCAACTGTTTTGTGAATTACCCATTTGGGCTTGAGAAAGCCAAATTGGGCAAAACCACTCTATTATCGAGAGGTATTGAATGGATAATTGTGTGTTGATTGCTATATTATTCCCCGACCAATGAAACTCGCTCTAAAGCCCACAACCCATTAGGCAATGGTGTTTAGCTTAAAGTATATATATTTATATGTATATCACCTCATGTTTTACTTTTATTTCGTGGATTTAGGCTGTAAAACATGTTGATTTATATTAATTTGAGGTGTTTTTCTATGTAGGAATGATTCGGGAGAAATTGGGGGCAAAATGTGCGAAATTAGAGCCAAAACAGACGAAAACAGGAAAATTGAAATTTGCAGCGCCACAGGCAGCGCCTAGGCCTACCTGTGGCGCCAGAAACAGAAAATCCAAATTGGCAGCGCCATGGAGGGTGCCTGGCGCTGCGCTGGGCGCTGGTGGCGTGAAATTTGTCCAACTTTGCCCGGGACAAGGTTATTTCGGCCCTAGACCTACCCAACACGTATAAAAGCAAGACTAAACATATTTTTGAGGGGGAGGGACGTCACTTTGGACGTGGAGGAACACACACCACGCTTGGAGGAGGCTTCTAACTAGTTTTTTTTTTCTCTTCTCTTCTTTTAATCTCATAGTTTATTAGTTTTAGAGTTTTGGGGTGCTACATGGACGTTGTAGTTTGAAGCTTGAATTGTTCTTATTATTTTATCATATTGGTTTATTTATTCAATCTTGCGCTTAATTATTTGATTGCTTGATCACCAATTGAATTCTATCTACGAATCTAGGATTGAACTTGGGAGAGGGAATTCTAGATTGCATATAAGATTGAGTGGAGCAAGATCTTAACTCTGAGGGGGCGGATTTGCGGTTAGGATGGGAATATACCTAATCGCCTTGCTTGGTTATTATACGAGAATTATAAATGCGTTCTTGTTAATCCTAATTCCATAGGAATATAGGCGTTATGTTAGCTTGAATAGACGAGTTGTATCTCGAGAGAAGGCTACGAGCAATATTAACCCCGTCAATCAATAAACTAGATAAATTAATTAGATGATTTAAGTGGAAAACTCAACGAGATTGTTAGCTAACCCATAGTTCTAGAATATTGTCTCTCATTGAATTCGTCTCTAATATTACCAATTTGTTCCTTTAGTCTCTTAGTTTGTTACTCTAGATTAATTTTAGTTAAATATTCATACATAAGGATTCACTTGAATAGATTAATTGTTTGGTTTAATTTAGTTGATAGTTAATCACAAGTCCCTGTGGGTACGATATCTGGACTTACAATCCTTTATTACTTGTCAATCATATGGATGGAATTTTTGTAATGTGTGTGGTTGTCAAGGTGGTCATTGGGATAGTTGTCCTAATTCTTATTATCCTTCTCACAACTCTTATTACTATATTTCTAATAATATTTGTGAGTTTGATAGGGGTAATGAAGTGCAGGATATGAAACCTGATGCATATATTAGGGATATTTTGAGGCAAGTAGCAGAGCAACAGGATGAACTCAAAAAAGATATGAAAAGAATGAGGGCAGCAATCACAAGAATGAAGGCCAATATGGAAGAACTAAATGAAGAGAGCAAGTACCAGCAAGAGGAAAATTTTGAAGAAGCAGATGTAGTGAGCCAATCTTCGCTAGAGGAACAAGCTCAACTGATAAAATCTCAAGAATTTCTCCGTGATGGTCTTTCAAATATGACAGAACAACTAATAGAAGGAAGAACTGAGCTCAAGCAAGAGATAGACCAATTTGGCTCAGATATCCATGACCTACAGGCTCAATTGAATAAAAAGGTTGAGGCGTCTGATGCCCTGCAACCAATTGTCGTAGATACTGGCCAACTTATGGAGCGGAAAGAGGAACTCCAACAATTCAACTAAAATATTATTAATGATGCCAAGGTTGACGAAGAGCGCAAAGATGCGATATTTATTGCTTGGTTCCTTTATTTTCACAGCACCGCCCCATGAACGTGACAGAAAAGTTGATGCAAAATTGGGGGCGCAATTTATATCCTCAAAGTGGAAGGAAAAGTGGTAAAAGGATGGCATCGTGCTGCGACGTTAAATCAAGCGCTTGTTGGGAGGCAACCCAATTTTATTTTTCTTTTTACTTTTGTTTATTTATTTTATGTGTTATTTTTTGTAGTGTTGTTTTCGTATTTTGTAGGAGTAGAAGCATGGAGTCAAAGCCAATAGGCGAGTGCAAAAGTGAGCATGTGGTTGAAACTGAGTGTGAGGTGCCCACACAAAAGACCATGCTTGGGGGAAGTCTGAGTACCTCGTGAGCTGCTATTGCTTCGGCCTTTGGCCTTTCAGGGAGTTTCTTGTCCACCCTTGTTATTGTTTTGCTTTATTTGTGCATTGGGGACACTGCACTCTTTTAAGTGCGGGGTGAGAGAATTTCTCTATATAATTAGTAGTAGTATGTTAGAAAAATGCTAACTTCTTATTTTTGTTTTTGTAGTTGTGTAGTATTTTAGTAGCTATGAGAAAAAATCGAAAAAAAAGTAGAAAAATTGATTTTTTCTCGACGATGGATCTCCTAGACAGTTTTCTTGAGGGATTAAAGTCTAAACAAAAATCCAAAAATATATCTTTTATTTTTTTAGGTAGCAATAATCCCCCGTGGTTTTTCTTTGTGCATCGGTTCTTTTCCATGGGATATAGTTTGAACCGGGTAGTAGTTTTTTTATTTTTTAGAGTAGATTAGGACTTTAGGAAATAAAAGGAGGAAAGGTGATGAACTTAGGCTCCTTTGACTTGTTTGATAGTAGCATATTTAAGCTTTGGCATGTGGAGTATCTTCCCAATTTTTTGAACTTGTTCATGATGCCTTGATGAAATTGGATAGCATGTTTTGTGACGCCTATGTCTCTTTTGCTTGACTTATATGCACTTTGTGCTTAATGCTTAATATCTTGTGGCTCCGTGAATACTTGCATTGTTTGAGAGTCGGAATGAGACCGTCCTTAGTGAGTCATGTGCCATGTGTGAAGTGAGGTTTGTGTAGTCCATGTTATTGTGAGTGAGTCCAGAACTTGCCCGGTATGTGAGTTGAAGCGACATTTTAGGCAATGCTCGGTTTGAAAAATGATTTTAGGCCTTCTTTGATCTTTTTGAGCTTAGTGCTTATCACAAATAAAATTTATCCCTAGTTACCCCTTTTGAGCCTATATACTTTTATTTGGCACCCACATTACAAGTCTATACCCTTTTTGTTCTTGATTGACATTATTTTGATCCTATTACCTCTTATGGCACTTTAATTGTTAAATGAGCGCTAGAAGACGTAAGGACTAAGTGTGGGGTGGCTTTTTAGTGGAACCAATAGAAGAAGAAAGGTGCACTTATTTTGTAAAATAATACACCACTAGCGGAAATTGAAAAAGA